AAGGGACTAACGAATATAGAGAGAAAGAAATAGGATAACGGAGAGAGGGAGAGATTGAGTTAAAGATCGATAACAAAAGAACTACACATAGATAATTGATGATATATGGTATCAATACTAAAAATTGTGCATTTTAATTATAAAGATATAAGAGTATAAACTGTATCATGTATATACTTATGGCTAAGAAAATGTAGATGAATTTACAATCACGTATTGTATTAAAATTACTGATGAGAATAAGAATACACCACTATTGTCGATTAATCAAATAAATTATTGAAATTCAAAAAATGACGATTATTTTATTGTGCTCTAACGCTCAGTAACAATGTAAATTAAAATGAATTTAACTGTGAAAATACTACAATCTCCACAAATCCCCATACGTATAATAATCACCAATGACTAGCTTTAAGATGGAATTATAGTGAGAATCCGTGACCAGTGAAGTTCAGTTCAGGTTAGGTGTGAGACAGTTATCTACCTCAGATAATGGATCAAGGGTTGCTAAAGATCATGGATCGGCTGAAGTTAAATATTAATACTGTTGGATGACTGCTAAATGGTCTGAAGGTTAAGTATTAGCGCGCAAAACTGAAGGTCCTAAGTTCAAGTCCTGCGTGCTAGAATAGGGTTGCGCACTACTGAGGAGTCCCAACTGGGACGAAATGGCCGTCCAGTGCTTCAATAGTTATCTTGCTTAGATTGACTCGTGAATTCGACCGTTAAAATACAACGATCTCCACAAACTCCAATACTGATAAATTCAAATGATTAAAACAAATAGTTCAATTTGCATTTGTTTTTTATTTCAGATAATGGCAATAATAGTAAGAATGAGTTTAAAATAACCGTGACAAAATAATAGCCAGTTGATAGTCTATCAGAAAACAAATGGATTATTTTTATCTGTATCCTGGAGCCTTTATGAGGACCGAAATATATTTTTTAAAGTCTCTACATTGTTCCTGGCTAAGGTTACGTATTCAGGATACGGATCAGAAATTTTAGATTGGAGTTTTCATCATGAACTGATAATAGCTATAAGAAGAATTGCTCTGTAGCCATACAAATAAGTTAATTTAGTGTGAAAATAAAAAAGATAGTATTTGCTTAGTTCATTCACAAAATATTGTTGCAACACATTTAAGGTTTTCTTAACACGTCAACAGAACGGTACAAAATCTGGGATTACAACTTTCCAATTAATACTGTTTCCACTAATTCCCTAGTTGATATCACTCTGTGATGGAAATTATCATAAAACGAAACAAACATTTGTAAAGAGTATCAAATTTAGATTACTAGAGAGTCGGAGTTATGGTTTACATCATAAACTGGGCTTATATAGCTGTCCTAATATAAGACTCCTCTACACTAAGCAAAAAGAACTTCACCTGATGTCAAACCATGGACTCTTAGGTTTAGCTGTGAGTTATTAGCCTTCTGATCACTAAGTTGGCATTCAATGGTTTACGGTTGTAACTTTAATTATCTCACGACGTAATGTCAGCATAGTCTAATTTGGTCGCTGGAGACCTGTCTGACGCCCAAATTCCTCAGTAGAATTCCTTGAACCACCTCTAGAATGATCTAGTTAAGGAATATACATTATTTTGAAATTAACTGCTGATAAATGAAATCTTTCAACGGTATGAAGATACGTTTTCGTCAGGAATATAAATATTTTAATGACAGTTATTATAACGAATGCAAGATATGAAAAGATCATTTCTTGATTACTCAACACTTAGTAGATTTTTAAGACTAGTTGGAAGAATAAAGGAGCTAACCAACTAGACATACATTTGACTATCCTTTATGCAAAAAGTGGAAGTTATTCTCACATTAACATTAATACTTTAGATACTATTACTGTTTACATCATATAATAACGAAATAAACTAGAAATAAATGATTAAAATTAAGTTGTATCACGAATGAGACTATAGTCTATGGACGACATTTGAGCGACTCCAAAGTGACCTCGAGAATATTCACCTACCAATTAGGACTAGGGTTATAAACCAGTGTGAGGAATTATAATAATAATTTACAGTTGATTATTTGGGTTAGGAATTAGATTTAGGGTTTTCATCACGAACTAACATCAGTTCAAATGCCAAAACGCTATTCAGACAAATAAATGAATGAATGCCACACCAAAATTCAAGATCTGTTTTCTTACATCTGATTGATTCGTTCATCAATTATAGTCTCACCGTTATTTTTTATCACATAAAGTGATACCAACTGTTAAATTATTGAAAAACAAGAATTACAATAGATATTCACTTTTGTATTGGGTTCAAGTCTTGAAATAAACATCAACTCTGGGATGCAGGTTCTTTCGGCTGACAAGTACCAAATAGGATGAAACGCGCGGCCTGGATTCCACTGCTGGTCACCATCCATCTCTACTTATAATAATAAATAGTTTATATTTTATTAGAGTACTATACAAAGATAACCTAATTCAAGTGTTTTGAAATCATAATAATGATATCTTACAAAAGATACACTACTATTTTTAAATAGCTGAGTCAAAATTAATTAGTTAGCAGTTTACGTGTAATCGGTAATACATATGTCTTGCTCCTGAGCAGTTGATCTCGTTAGTTACACTTTCATCGGAGGTACATTAAGAAATTTATTTCAAAGCTAGAGATAACTATGAACTGTATTGTTATATATATAGACGAGACTATTTTTATACTAAAAGTTAACTTTAAAAAAAATTTCTTATTGCAAATGGTAAAACAAGTTGTTGATAATGTCAAGTTACTGAATACCAATTCGTTTGATTATTCTATCTGATTGTATATACATTTATATATTACTGTTTATGTTAACGGGTACCCATTTATGAATTTATATCTCTAAGATGTACTAAATGTAACTAACTATACCACGTCTACAATTGATTATATTCCGGAAAATAAAGGGGAAAAAATGACAATTTATGCGCACTATAGTTGGTCATCATATAAAAAAAAGACGAAAAAGGAAATGGAAAATCAGATAACCAGATAGTTAGACAGACAGACATATGGATAGATAGACAGACAGGCAGAGAATAGATATTTCCTTTAATCTAAGTCTTAATATATTTTCATTTGACATGAAATTATTTCATCTGTGTTTTAACCGAATGAATGGAAAAGAGATTGGAATTGCACAGAAGTACAAAGATATATTTTAGCTGAATAGTAAATGATTAAACCATTGTTATTCAAATAGTTTATATTTCAAATGTATAGTGATACAACCGTCTGTTGTTGTTGTTGTCGTTGTTTTTTGAGTATGTGTAATCTTCCAATGAATTTATTCACTGGATGTCCTAGCTTCCGGGGTTTTTTCAAGAGTTTGTTTAGGTATTAAGACGACTTGAATTATGTAAAGGGTGAATTCAGTCAATGTTGTGTGTATATGGTAACAAAATTTATAAAATCTTGAAAGAAATATTTTAAGGAAATTTATAAGCAAAGACAGATGGTGGTTAGCAAAAGACTGGTCAATGACAGTCCTAAACAATAATGGTGTTATATCCGATGAGAATAATGAATGGTAACTGTAAGAATCTATTTCTGGACTAATACTATGTGTATATTATTAACGTATAATTGTGCAGTAACTAAATGATGCATATTCATGTTCCTCTTATTGAAACCTTTATTTTGACCCATAGACTATTATTATACGATTTACCATTGTTGAGTTATGCTCGGTCTGTTAAATACAGTCTCCGACATTCACACCCACATTTGACTAGATCTCGTACAAATGTTGTTTCCTATTTTATGGTGCGATGTAATCTGTTTGGTTTGTAAATAAACCTAGTATGTTTGAAATAAATGATTCATATCACAGAGGTTGAGAATGATGTTCTGGACTTAACAGGCGGGGCTAGGCAAGAATTGATGTGTGGGCTACAATGATAATGATTAGTTGTCTGCTTAGTCAGACATATAGATAGTCTGACAGGTATCAGATGATTTATATATTCCCCTATCCTTATATATCTTATTGTTAATTGTTTATTGTTGTTGGATTTTGTCGGGTTTTGGTGTGGAAATATATTTACGTTCTAGTCAGGCTAATCACGTGTTCTTGATCTTAGTTGTATTGAAGTCCTGTAGAATAAACACTTGGAGGGAAACTGGTGTAGCTACTCGTTTAAGGTAAATTAACATCTTATACATGTACACATGAAAACCCAACCGTTATAATAAGAAGCAGGACTGATTGGGACTCTAGACTGCTCGTACGAGTTTTATGCGTCATCGGTCCGGTCGATAAAGCACTGTTCTCTAATTGACGGTGTCATTACGTTATACATTGACAGGGGCACAAACCTACAAGTTGTAACAAATAGGAAAATACAAGTAAGCAATACCAAATGTATTTCAAAAAAAATTAAAAAAAGAACATCAATAGAGAAAACTGAGAGTGTTGAATATCATAATAATTGCTCATAAAATACTCATTATAATAAACATTAGTAAGCTACTACTGTATGAAAAAAAACGAATTAAAATAGCTCTCATGATTCGCAATTCATTGTATTTTTAACTGCTGAGGAAAACTGAGCAAAGGTTATGAGCTTCATATTTATAGTTTGGTAAAGCAATAGACATCTGCTTTGAATTAGTACAGTACTTCCCGACAGCGAGTATCCGCTATCGTATCACAGATCAAACATAGGACGTTCAATCTCCCAGAGTGTGCTCGAATTTCAGACTATTAAGTAAATATCCTATGGCTTAAATTTCTAACTTCAATGAATTCACGATACTAATCAACTATCAGTTGTTCAAAATTTAGGCGCTTATCACGTTGTTGTTATCATGTGTTATATGGGGGAACAAATACTAAAACAAAGCTGCTGGCCAAAGCACCTTGATTCATAATAACTCTCTAGATATAGTTGGTCTGTGTATTAAACTAACTCTTTTGTTCATGAATATGTAGTGTATTTTATTTAACTGTATCCCTACCTTTCGAAAACTTGTCCAGGTACCCGATGCGGTACATCATTATTAGTTTTACATGTAAATTGAAACAAGAGATCAACTTCATGGTTACGATATTCTTGGTTTGTAATTATAGCCAAGTAACCAGTATACAAATCACCAGTCTACAAGAGAGGAAAAATATGATTACATTATTATAAAAAATAATACATGAAGTGATCGTGTAAACTGCTGAATAAAATGTTGTTAACTGTTTTTTTACATATATATAATTAAAAGTCGTAAAGCAAGCTTTGTGGAAATGACTAAAATTTTATACTTTACATTACGTTTGAGTCGTAGATGTGCACTCCTGGTTTGTCCCAATATTACGAGAAAAACGGCTGTATAATTTTTTCTGGTCTTCATTGGTTGTCTCAAAAAGACCAGTCCGTAATGCACAGTATGGAAATTCAGCAATCTCCACAAATACCCAATTCACTAATAATAATTGTGTATTCAGGAGGAACTGATTTCGAGAGGTAATCCAAGGAGTCCTAATGAGAAGCGATGGCTAGTAGGGTTGGGCCATGTCACAATGCAAAATCGTCAAGCAAACGCCAACGCGTTATCCACTTAGATATCGATCTCAAATTGTCCAATCGATATTATGAAGTTTTACCCAAATTTGTAATGCTTTTCGATTATCCTATTATTAATATTTTGACTGATATATGGTTAATTTATGCTAACGAGTCCCAAACGGGATGAAACTCATGTTTTGGATCCCAGTACCAGCCAGATTTTCCCTATTCCATGTTACATTTCATCATAATGGCTATATCAAACCAATATAGTGACTCACGTGCGATTGAGTTCATTCTCATTTAACTCAGTTAAGCCCTTTTGCTAACTTATTTAGCGGGCAAAGTCATCCGCACTATAACAACTTATTGTACCCTTATTATTTTGTGCTTGAATATTGCTTACTGCCTACACATTTATTCACTCTACTAGTCTTACTACTAACCGCTTATTTGATTCGATTACTCATTCATTCACATGGTATATATATGTCCATGTTATTCATATTCAAGACATACGCACTCTCGTCTCGCTCTTGCTCTGGCTCTCGCTCGCTTGCTCGCCTTTCGGCACAACTCTTTTATGCTTGTTTAACGCATCTGTACATTTGGATATATGTGTGTGGTCTCGTAATAAACGTAATCAACGCTTCGTATTCGCCTTCTGATTAATATACCGTTGGGGCGTTATATAGAACGGTTATCAAGACGAACTGTATACGAAGTTTAAGGATTATATCGAATACCGACCACCACAACCAACCCGTACAAAATGCACATACACCAATCAAATTTCTGTAAAATATATCAAAAACGGAATAGTTCAAACCATCAAAAATTAAATTAATCTTCATTGGTTTCCAGAGGATGTTAACACATCTAATCATTGGGCTTTATTATATAGTAGTAGACATGATTTCAATTTTGTTGTGGTTTCTTTAAGACTAAATATCTCTAGTTGTTGAGTGTCGATAAGAACAAGAACTTATATATATAGTCTCCACTCATCGAAATTCATGTAACGTCATGCAAATCTAATTAATACAACTATGTCATTATGGAAAATGTATCACCAGTGAACATTGATATTCAGTACATTTAGTCATATAATAATACGAATTCAACAATAAACCTTTAGAAGATTTATATCTAAATGATGAATTAGGTATTCAAAATTATTGTTACATAACAAATTTAAGTTTATCATGTTTGTAACCATATAATCGATCGACTAAAGTACATAAATCATTCAACGTTAGCAATTATTATTCCAATAAACTACTGAGATAATAAAAATAATCAATGATCTGATGTTATCATATTCTATTTAGATGATACAGTTAAAATTGTTACATTTTAATAACGGAACAATGAAATAGATATGTATTCTGTAATTACTGTAACTATCATTGAATAAAGTAGTTTTCATTGAAAGATCATTTAGAGTAATCAAAATAATGTCTGTCCTACTGTGCGACTCTTTACCAATACACATCCACGACTTTCAAGCAAGAATGGAACTTGGGACATTTGGCACTGTGAATGAACGCTTAACCTCCAGACCACTAAGTCCCTATACAGTGGTGTTAATTTCTAACTTAAATCAATCAAAAATATTGCTTGACAATCTTTCGTTCTTTTCAAGGGGTCTAATTTACTTACCGATTCAGAAAGATATCCTTTCATTTACGCTACTAAATTATTTGTTAACATACTGGAATGATAATGACCTAGTATTTCATTCATGTTATCAAAGTTTATTGTTAAGATTTTCGTGAACTATTTATGCACCAATACGATACATATATTTGTGTTGTATAATTATTAAGTAGCTAAACTATGCATATTCATGTTCCGCTTATTAAAACCTTTATTTTGACCCATAAACTAATATTATGCGATTTACCATTGTTGAGTTATGCTCAGTCTGTTAATTAAAATCTCCGAATTCCACAGCCACTTTTGACTATATCTTGTACAAATGTTGTTTCCTATTTTATGGTGCGATGTGGTCTGTTTGGTTTGTATATAAACCCAGTCATATCATAGAGGCTGAGATTGATGTTCCGGACTTAACAGACAGGGAGAAGGACCGATAAAGACTCTAGATTGCTCGTACGAATTTTATACATCATCGGTCTGGTCGATAAATTATTATTCTCTAATTTGCATTATCATTACGTCATATTTTAATAGGGCACAAGGCCACAAGTTATAATACTTTAAAGATTTACAATTCGCCGTCCAACATCTAATCAATAAATGAACAAAATGATACACACTTTAAAACAATTAATCCCTTTGATAAATTTCGATAACACAATGAGAAGGCGAAGTTTATCAGAATAATGTGGTATATTTGAGTAATACATTTCGAATTACCTTTAACCTGTTTAGTTGACCTTTTAATTTTCATATAAATATATTTTAGCAAGTATATATGTGATCAGATTGTTCGAAATGTATTACACAAATATATCACATCATTCTGATAAACTTCGTCTTCTCATTGCATTATCGAGATATACACATTCCTAAAATTTCATTTACTCTATAATTAACTCATTAAGCCTTAGTAACAAATATAACCTTTTTCTAGTCTTATAGTTCAGATCAAATTCTATTATTCAAGTTTCAATATGACCATTAATCTAAATTACTCAACATTGTACACACTATACTTAGATTTTACGTAGTTCGATTTAATCGATAAGAAATTCAGATACGTAGATCTTCTAATAGTTAGCATTCTTCAATAATCTTAAATCAATTCCATTCTCTTTATAAGATTCAAAACTGAATCAATTATCTTCAATAAGTTAGAAATTAACACCGTTGGATGCCGGCCAGCTCAGTGGTCTAGTTGGTTAAGCGCCTAGCGCGAGACTGATAGTTCCTGGTTTCGAATCTCGCGGGGGGCGGGATCGTGGATACTCACTGCTGAGGAGTCCCATACTAGGACAAAACGGCCGTCCAGTGCTTCCAGGTTTTCTATGGTGGTCTAGCTTCAACTGACTCATGATCTTAACCATTGAAATTACTACAATCTCCACAAAAACCCATCTGATAAAATATACTTGACATGATTTTTATGTCATCTTTCGTAATGAAGTAACTTAGGAAGTGAATCATGTACTTTTATTTCATACGAATATACGTATGTATGTTTGTATGTATGTATGTGTGGATGTGTGTGTGTGTGTGTGTTAATTAACATTTCCCTATCATACTAATGAAATAAATATTTTAAAAAATCGGCTTGGAAAATTTACTTATTACCTATGCAAACAAGATAAATTGAAAAAACAGAAAACAACCTGATTACATATTAAATTAAATTAGTTTAAATGTTAAAATCATATTTTGTTGTTTGTTTTTTTCGTTGTTGTTGTTGTTAACGGATTATTGAATTAGTTGAGAATTAGTTCAATTATGCTTTATATAGTTACTAAGAGATTTTCTTTTAAGAAAAAAATCTAAAGAATAAAATGTTTATTAAGTAATATAAAATAAATTAGGTTAACATTAACTAATGTGAAATGATGAATGGTTGTTTTGTTTTTGAATGGACCTCATCAGTTGATGATAATCGTTTTCTAGTAAGTTGATCATCTTGATTCTTTGAAATACTTCAAATTTCAGAGTGTTAACTAATTATTAGACTATTGAATTATTGTAAACATTAACTTGTCTCATAGGTACGATACAGTTGATTGATCATTAAGCAAGGACTAATGTCATGTTTATCTAATCCTACTTAGTAATCAATCAGTTATAAACTGTCTTAGTCCTAATATTATAGACAGTGATGCTTGGTAAGATAAGATGGAATCCATTAGAAATCATTAATTCTTTTGAATATTATATACACCATAGTGATAACCAATAACTAACAAGAAATTCTAAATCAAATAGCGTTTCCAGTAAACTACTTTGAATTATTTATCACTAACTAAGAAACAAAAAACGACGAGATACCAATGTCAAGATGAACTTGACAAAGAACTTTGTAGATGTAGTTAGCATAACTCTCTTTCCTCATCCTCTTCTTCTTCTTCTTTGTATGCGTTGGTCTACAAAATGTTACCTCCTGAAATTGTGTCTGGTAAAGCTGTGAAGAAAGCGTCGAAGGTTGGAAAAAGAGTTATGCTATCTACATCTCTAAAATTCTTCGACATTAGTATCTTATCGAAAGCAATGTCAATCATAAATTCATTTATGAACAATATCTTTGAGCGCACTACCACAGAATTCAGCCGACTTTCATACTACAACAAGAAATGCCAAAAAAGAAGCTACTTTATTCAAACAAAATAATTTAAATCATTCATATTTACTTACCATATATTCAGTAATACTAAGACCACATGGTATATTTGTTGATTCTTGTCTCCAATCAATTGTTTTACACCATATATGTTTTGTATTGAATTTATTATAATTCAATATTGTATTATTCCATTGTTTATGATATAAACCAGAATTTTTTATATTTAATATACAAGTATTAATCAATTTTTGATAGATTGTTAAATTTGTAATAAATGCAATTGAATGATGTAATTGTAAATTTTCAGCTAAATTTTCATATGGTGATTGATTCATTGGTAAGAAACAAATTTCTAATAAATGTCGTTGACAAAATACATGTACTAGGGGGTAGGAGTAGGTAGATGGGGGTAGGGGTGGGGAAAAACAAACAATTTACATGGGATTAAAGAGATTCTTTAAAAAAAAGTTAATTAATGCGAGAAGAAAAAGAAGTGATCGTGGCGCAATATCGTGGATTGATTGAAGTTAGACATTAACATCGTTGGATGTTGGCTCAGTTGTGTAGAGGCTAAGTGTTCACGTGCGAGACTAATAGGTCTTGGATTCGAACCTAATGAGGTGGAGTCGTAGATGTACACTGCTGAGGAGTCCCATATTAAGACAAAACGACCGTCCAGTGTATCCAGCTTTTCTGTGATGGTTTAGCGTTAATTGACTTATGAATTCGACTACTAAACTACTATGATATCCATAAAACCACTCCCTAATTTAAAATAGAATTTAGACCAGTCTCAGTATAATGAGTAGATAATTGAACTTAGTGACTCAATTGATAATGTTTTAAACACTTGGAGAAAAAGGTACTGTGTCTAAAATCTCATCACGAATGTCAATAATGAGTTGTCGGAGGAAAATTTAATTGGTGAATCTGAAATAAAAACGAAACTGCTTACTTGTATTCGATTGCTATTCACTATTTTTTTGAAATGTGAAGCCTGTTCTCACTATTAAACGATGTTACCTATAATGTATAATATTGGATGTAATGAAATACAGGAATAATTTTCTAGTTTTCAACCTGTTTGTAGCACAGCCTAGTTATACTACGTGATTGTCTTAATGGAAGTTAGTGAAACTGTTGAGGAAATGGGAAATCTGCTTGATGAACCATACATGTTTTACGTACTATGATATTATTTACACTTTAAATCACACCTCTCTCATATTAAATCGAAGACGATTGGTACAAATTATTTTTACGTAGCTGATATCCCAGACGAATCCAAGTTAGACAAAGTTTAAAAACCAGGAAGCATTGGAGAGCTGCCAAGTTCTGATATGGGACGTCTCAAGAATATACACTGACGTCTCCAGGAGCACGTTTAACTTTTACACCACTGAGCAGACAACGGATGGTTTTTATGTCCAGCTTCAAATTCCGACACTGTACGTTTAGGTCGATTGCCTACAATGGATATCTTTCTCATACTTGACTTTTCTGAGGTCCATTGGTTATGGGTTCTTAATAGGACTGTAGAATTTATCACGTGAAATCAGTCGTGAGTTTTCTTCTATGGAAATCAAGCTTCAATAAATATGACTTTTTATGAGAGACCTTACCGGTTCTTACTACAGATGTTTCTAAAACTTATTAGTTTAGTCTCATTTTATAAACAACGTTGCTTACATGTTGATTTTAACATTTTGACATTAATAATAAGCTACCTATTAAACATCCCTAAATAGCCCCAAAATTTCTGCTGGAACATTAACTCATCAGTTATTTTACTAAAATATGTTCACAAAAACCCGAGTCAATAACGAAAAAACAATCATATTCATTTATTAAAGTTTAGTTGCGTAAACGTGGATATATGCAAGCATCCCTGACAGTATTCGATCCTCATTTCTACACAAATATCCATAAATCACTTATTATCACTGACCTCAGTTATTTTTTGATTGAGTTCATAAATCGATCAATGTTAAACAGCCATTAAAATAACTGGAAGCAAAGAACAGCCTTTACGTCCTAGTAGAAGACTTCTCAGCAGTGTGCATCCAAGATCACGTGTCAAAGGACCTCGAAACTACGACCTTCGGTCTCACGCACAAACACCTAACGCCTAGACCACTGAGACAGCATCTAAAGGTATTAATGTTTAACTTCAACCAATTCACGATATCACACAACCACCTTCCATTTTCTTCGGTGGTCAACTGTCTCACACACGACACGGATTAGATCTACTGGTGACAGCTTCTCACTAGAACTCCGAAAATCCCCTCTCATTTATCTTCATTTATTTAATTACCTGTTATATAAAAACCATATAATACTTGTAATCAATTATTCTTTTTTGCATTCTAACTTATTCATCGAAATTTCTATATTTATTTTTTGTTTTGATTTACCATTAAAAACAAGTGCGAAAATTAAATTACCAATATTATTGTTATTACAGTCTTTATTATTCAACTTGCCTATCACCTTACTTAATAAATAATAATGATAATAACAACTTATATAATGATTATCATAAAATCAACAATGGAAAATAAAGCTTTGCAACCATTAAAATCTATTTTCAGAGAAGTTGTTTATCTACCTACTTACCTACCTACCTACCTACCTATCTATCTGCCTACCTATTTATCTACCTACCTACCTGTTCCTATTATAGACATATATACGAATAAATTAAACGACAGTAGAGAAAAAAGGTCGATTATCTCGGCAAAGTTTCTTCTCTATCAGTAATATACCAACAATACTGATGACGAATGTGATGATGATGATGATGATGATGACGATGACGGTTAATCTTTATTTAATCTCATAATTAAATGATTAGAATTATTAAATCATTAGCCATCATTTATATTCAATTGCATTGGGATAAATATTAGTTTCCCTTTCAATTTAATGACATCACGTGTAGGAAAAAACTAATCAATAGAAAAGTAACTCATGATGATGTTGGCTAGTTTTTTTGTTTGTTTGAACGTACATTTGTCCAGAATTTGGAAAAAAAAACAAAAGTAATAATACTTACAAAACTGATAATTAGGCGAGAAAAAAAGCAAAAGAACACTTGTATATGTAACAACTATCTAACACTTCAAAATGAAAGGTATTACATTTTGAGTTTCAACATATAAATCAATATTGAGATGTAGTTTAAGTATCCAGTTGACAAATTCCATGGTTAGCGACGCCATCCCGTAGAAAACTAACTCGCTCATAAAACGCTAACCAGAAAAAATTATTCAAACCTTTTAAACTCTGCCCTGGGAGTTAGAAGGTCTTCATTTAGAAGAGTTATGACGCCTTATGATGAAAGCCGAGTTTCTTCGGAAGTCACGAGGCCGATGGCTCTTCTGACAACCAGAGCAACCATTTATGGAATACTCGTACAATGTGGGAGACCGGGAAAGTCTTCCAAATTGCTGCAACATGATGAACTGATGATCTTAGGATTTGGAACCGCATCACTCAACTTTACAATCTTACACATTAACAACAAAGTATTCGGTATACACTTAATCACATTTTAATAACTGATATGTTTTTACGAGTAACCGATCACTTAGCAATGATCAATGCCATGTTTGACTAGGTTTTTGATTGAAAACAATCAATAGTAAGACCTTAATGTAACTTGTAATAAAATATCTGACTGTGACATTCACTACTGACTTAAGATATAGTCAGTGCATACAATTTATTTTATCAAATTAATAATAATGATATTCTATGAACTAATTAAGAGAATAAAGGGTTGTTTTAAAGTGGACATTATATAGTATTATATTATAAACTGACTAAACCATAAATTATAGTCCACTATCATTAGGTGTACCATTTTTCTTCCACTTTGCTCAGCCATTTTTCATCCTAATGGGCAGTTGATTGGAGGTCTATATCTTACACTTGTTGGTAGAACATGCTAGCGAAGACACTCATGGCGAAAATATAGTTGTTCTCGAGTGAAAGTTCACATCTATCCTGATTATTATAAGACTTATTATGCAATAAATATTAGCCTATATTAAATCATGATAGTGAATCACTGATGAGTTTGAAAAATAGTACTAAACAGTTATTAACTCATTATTGATTTTACTAGTTGAATTCATGAATTGATGTTTCGTTCTAGTATGTGTCTCTTCAAATTTAACATCATTCTATGATTTAATAACTATTAATCTCCAAATTAACGTCTGACTTATCTTTTTGTTTTGTATTCTTTTTATCAAGATTTTGATGGAGTTTTGTTCTCTGAGCTCAGAGAACAAAACTCCATCAAAATTATCTCTACCTGAGCTATAAATCTTCTCCACCATCTCTTAGCCAAATTATTCCATCAATCGTTTTTTTCTTAAATTATTTATTTTTATTTACCATGACATAATGGTTATCATGTATTATCATCTGTTTAACAAGTTCAATTTGTAAATAAGCCATTTATTGAATAAATGACAATGAGTTTCGATTAGATGACAATTAAGTCTGTTTATCAATGGACATTTATTCTCATCTGATAGAGAAGAATAAGATAAATAATAGAATTGAAGATTCAATTTGAAATATTGACTATATATATATATGGATACAACATATAGAATTACCTAAATTTTCTCCGCATACTTCATATTCCATTATTGTTGTTTGTGATAGCATAGATTTATAATGATTCTGTAAATGATTATCATTATCATTATTGTTTATGATCTCATCATTATTACTATCAATAGGATTATTATTATTATTATTAGTATGTTGTATGAAATTAGTCTGTGTTGAAGATGTTATTATAGATTGAAGATTATTTGGGCATAAACAACCAATCGATGATTCAATGTCTTGTTCATTCATTGTATAACATTTTCCATTTGAATGAATACATGACGAACAGCTGGAATGATTCGCTTCAAGTTGACGAACTGAAATCAATTTTGAAAATTAACAATATATATATATATATCACATTGAAATAAATATAACAAATCTCCTCCAAGATGAAATATATATATATATATAAAAGTGAAAAGTTCTTCTTATGATAATTCATTTGTATTACTGACTTCAGTTAATTACTTACGCCTCTTACTCCTTATAGAGGAGCATAGTCCGACCACTAGAACTTTCCATCCAACCCTGTCCTGGGCAATTCTTTCCAGTTCTTTCCAGTTCTTATTCATCCTTTTCATATCTGCTTCTATTTCACGACGTAATGTGTTCTTTGACCTTCCCCTTTTCCGTTT